TTTTTGAAGTCCAGAACACACTTGGAAAAAAAACCACTGGGTCCAAAAGGCTGAGATAGCTCATTCCTTTTTGGCCAAGATTCCTAAAGGCACTGAACACCAATCCATTGATCCTCACGTATCTCAAGCTTCAGCATTTTCAGCCTGTACATCTCCTTCACTGCCAGGCATGAAGTGCCCAGGCAGGAAGGGTGCCACACTAAGACACTCAGCTTCTTCCTCTGCAGGCTCCTGGGCACAAAGCAGTTCTTCTGGAAGCTGCAGCATTTGTTGCACAACCCTCTCCTGTGGCTCTGCCTCATCTGCTGGAATTTCTAGCTCGCATTCCCTGCTCTCTTCACTTCCCACTGTATCACTGAGGACTTGCTGGTCTTCATCACTTAAAACCTCACTCAATTCAGCAGATTCTGCACAGCTTTGGCTCTGCACCCCTTGTGCAGCTGGCACACCAGACTGAGTCTCTTGCTGTAAGAAGTCAAGCAGCTGGTTGGCTGACCCTTCTGGATATAGGGTTTCTTGTGGCACTGCAGAAGTAGAGTGCATCTCTGCCACAGCATTCACTATGGCTTCTGAAGGATCCACTATGTTCTCAATCTCCTCTGCAGCCTGCACATTCATTAGAGAAGCAGCCTTTGCAGGAGATGGGATCTGGACACTCTCAGTGAGTTGAGTTCTTCCTTCAGCAAGGCCAGCCCTGCCTGCCTGCTCTGTGTGCCCAGCAGGAAGGTTGGTCTCAGCCTCTTCTGCCATCTTTTGCACGGCACAGAGTGGCGAGTTCCATCCTGTGAAACTCTCACCAGTCTCCATGGGACGCTTGATCTCAAAGTCTTGAGCAGCTGCAGATTTCCATGCGCTTTCCATGAGCTCAAGAATATTTATTTCTTGGGGAGTTATTCCAGCATACGGGCCATCCTCACTGCCAGCCCCAGCCTGTTCAGCAGGCTGTCCTATATCTGCAACAAGCTTCAGATCCTGAGCTGTGTGCATAGCCAGCTGGGCCTCATCATAAGGAGTAGGTTTTATTTTCTCTTCTGTATTACATGCTTTCTCTCCTTCTTGCTGATCCAGAACTTCAGCCTCTTCTTTGGTCTCCCTGTCTGAGGATGCCACCAAGAAATCCACAGAGCTCCAGGCTGCCTTCTGTTCCTCAGTCATTCCCACAGGATCTGCAGGACAGCAGGTCTCCATGCTCTCCTCTGCAGTATCAGCTGACAGCTGTTGGTCCCGGCAGAATGACTGAGCTTCTTCAGAGATTTGTTCAGAGGCTTCCAGGGCCGGTGGGGAAGGCTGTGTATCAGTGTGCATTGGTGTGTCCCCTGAGGTGTGCAGAATTGGCTTGGTCTCACTACTCTCCTCATTCACTTCCTCCTGCTTCTTATAACTCCCGCAGGTCCCACAGCAGGTCTGCATGCTGAAGTTGCTCCCCATGCTGTCGCTCAACAGAACCTGCAGGAAAAAAGAAAACCTGTTTATTTTAACTGTTCCACAACAGCATTTGCTACACCAAAGGCTCCTTGGCTTAGCTCCTAGAGTGGTCTGTGTACACACTGTGAAGACTATGAGGTCCTACATGACACACCAAAACTGCAGTGTTCCTACACACGAGGTCATCTCCATAGCACACCCTAAGCAAATACAGGTTTGATAGAAGGGCAGCGTTACTACGTTTATTGAGGGTAACAGATCTGCAGTGCTAACACAGTTCTGGTGCATCTGCCTCAGCTCTTAATCAGGGATTCATGTCACCCACATTTATTAGTTGTGAGGTGGCAATCAACACCAAGCAATTTCTGGTGCTAATCCCAGGAGTAACGCAGTTCAGATGGAGTTTGTTTGCAGCAGCAACTCCTTCAGCCCTAATGGGAAACTGAACTCATGCTTTCAGCTGGAGATCGTATAGAAGGAAAATAACAAGTCAGTGCCTTTGTTAAGGATGAGTGACTTTAACTATGCACAGTTAGTCTCTGTCAACAAAAGTCTCTTGTTCTGATTGAAGCCATTTGGACTTGTTTTATTTCTATAAAGGCAGCATCAGACTGTGGGCTAAGGCTGAGGCCACACTGTAATTCCTCAGCTATATCTTGCAGTAGGGCCCATTATTTCAGAGCACCATATTTTAGCAGCCATCCAACCTTCCCACCAGAAGCACAGGATTACGTTTACAAAAAACATTTGAAAAATAAGGAACTGCAAGATATTAAATTCTACAAAACACATTCAAGTACTAAAAGCTTTCTGAAGCCAAAGCTTATCTTTTGGCTCTTACTGGATCACATTGCTTTTCTTAGACTTCCATTAGTCAGGTGGTTTCCTTCAACTCTCTGTACTTGTGCTCATTTAAAATGAAAGAAAAAACAGATAGCTTTCTCAATAAATAAGTGCAACCTCTAAGTACTCCATTGGAAGTTAAACCATTGCATTAGAAGGAGCTGCAGGTTTCAGTAACACTTCCAGCATCTAAAATCAAACTAAAAGCTACCAGCATACAACCATGTGAGGACCTGCACTTATCTAAAAGCCATCTAGGATGATCTCAACCTCTTCACATTTGCTTATATCCCCAATTTCTTCTAACAGCAGATACCATAATTAACTCCTTTGAAATAGAGAGTTGAATTAAAATACAAAGCTTAGATGAAATTGAGAACTTACCAGCCTCTAACAGGTAAAAAACAACAGAACACAACACAAACCTCCTAATTATCTTTTGGGCCTCAAACTCAGCTTATATAGTACTAAGGGGCCACACAAAACCAATCCCCCCAACTCCATGGGCAGCAATTCCCTGAATATTTAGTTCCCTTCCACTCTCATTCCCTTCTGGGAACAGCTGTTGTGGTTGCCTGCTTTATTTTACAGCTGAAGGTACTTTATTGGCAATTTTGTGGTTTGTTTTGTTTTGTTTTTATCAGAGGGTAAAGTAAAACTAAAATGCAGTTTCTGTTTATTGCAAATGAGTGATCACTAGCAATATACTGTAACAACATGCTGTTGTAAAGCAAGGCATGCAGAGGCATATTTGAGAGCATTTTTCAAGGATCAGGTTGTGTTGGGCAGTTAGGGTTAGGGTGAGGGTTAGGGTTAGGGTTAGGGTTAGGGTTAGGGTTAGGGTTAGGGTTAGGCTTTTCCTCAGCTCCACCTGCTATCTTCAAAGAGGGTGAGTTCAGATGTTCATTTGCTTTGCTGTAGTGGAAGTGGGGCTGGGCATCTTTGAGGCTGATCTCACTTGCATCATTAGTAGGCTCAGATGTAGCGGAATGATGTTGCCTCTGTGAAATGGAAAGGCCAACTCTTGGACAACAGAAAGATATAGGAGCAGTGGGAGTCTTCATCATACACAAGGCCCAGCAGGTGATGCAGGAAGAATAAAGCTTTGCTTCTATTTCCTCAAGACTAAACACTCAAAGTGTCGTGGATTTGCTCAGGCTGATGTCATTGCTGGAGGACCAGGAATTACCCAGGTCACAGTCAGCATGGGGCATGGACTGCCACTGCTGAGAGGTGCATTGAGAATAGAAGTGAAGTCAGTGTGTTGACAGATCTCCGTTAACACAAAATTGCAGCTAAAATAATGGTTATAAAGAAGGCGTTTTATTTATGTTTCATCCTCCATCTTCAATAAGAAGACTGGGATGTGTTAAACAAATAGGAGAAAAAAAAAGTAAGGTTTTCCTTATGAGATTTTGACTGTTTCTTATTATTTTAGTTCTCACTGCCTCTAAGGGAGTCCTTAGTCTGCCTTCACTAATTGTCCCATTACTTTTACCACCTGTAAGGATGACAGAAGGTGTTTGGGCCCATAGCTCAGTACATGAATGAAACCTGCCTCAGCAAGCCTAATCTGAGAAAAAGATTGAGTCAAAACTGGATGAACAAGCTGCTAAGCTTAAGAAGATCAAAGTTGCCTGTTTTACAGCTGTTCTCCTGTTCTCCATCTCTGGTTGACTTTAGAGGGGAAACATCAGTCCTGCAAGTACATGCATCATTGATCACAGCATTCGCCTGGTAGGGGTAGCTTACATCTTGCCCCACTTGACATTCAAAGCTGTGCTAGAGGCTGCATGTTTGATATGTAGTTTGCATATCTAAGTAAATACAAAATAGATACAAAACTCTTTTATGCAGTGCTTTTCTAATAGGACAGCTTCGATTGAAATTGAGCAGCGATGTAAATATGGTGTTTAAAACAGCAGGACGAAGCTCTGAAGTTACAGGATTGGAAGATCCTGTCCTTTGGTGAGGGCATCCCATTCTCAGTGTACAAGCTGATAGCATTGCCAGCGAGGAGAGCAGGTTTGAGTTGGATGTACCTGGAAAAGAATACTGCAGAGCTGCCAGAGGATGGATGTAGATGACAAAAGCTAGGTAATACTTTGTACTCAAAAACAAGACCTGATCTAAAGCGTTAGGTTATGGCAAAGCTAGGGCGAGTAACTGAAGCACTTAAGTCGTATTTCACTTGGAAATGAGGGCAAATGAAGGTTACTTGTGAGTAGAGGCATCAAGAGGATATGTATCCCGTTTAATTGAAAGATAGCCAAGTGTGTATGTACCAGGTCTGGTTACATATTTAGTAACATCTAAATGGTCATTGTCTTACAAGCACGTGTGTAAGCAGACAAAGATACATAGCTGCCAGTTTTGTGACAGTATTTTACTTCCTTATTGAATTCTGGATATGTGGAGCATACGTATGTGTACACAGACACCAAAGCACATTTAGACGTGGTTGTTTTTTTTGATAAACTGCCATATTTTTGTTCCAGCATCAAGAACAAGGTTTAAGGCTTCTGAGTGCTGTTTTTGGTCTTGCAGCACACCTTCATCACTCTCTTCCTCATGCAGGGCAGCCTATCACGAGGCCCCTGGTGCTCATTTTCCCACTTCCTTGCACCCTGCAGCATCCTGGACTTCTGTAGTCTCCTCTTCAGCCAGTCAGCTCATCTCTGATTTTTATATTGTTACAGTCAAGACATTGATTTTGAAAGGGAGAAGGAAGATTTAATATGAAGGATTATGTGTTTATTTATGTTTTGTTACACAAGAATAGAGCAAAAGTTTCTGAGACAAAGCATGGACTTTCCCTTTGTAGGGTAAATAACAGCATGTGAATTCACCTCCTGTAAGCTTGAATCAAAATTGCTTTAGCAGGCTTTGAGAGCTTTCTGATAGGTACTTAATCACAGCAATATATCAATAGGTGTTTACATTGCCCCTTCATTTTTTTATTAGCAGGTGGTACAGAAACATAAACCACTCGCATCAGGGAGAACAGCTCCACCACATCCTCCAGTAGAAGATAAGCACAGGGCAAAGCATTTAAGTATTACCGTTCCAATACTTCAGCATACATCAAGACAAGCTACCAGCCCCATCCCCAAGGCTTCACACGGTGCTTCTTCACGTGTCCATGAATATTAGTTCCATTACTCAGTTCCTCCTCACACCATTCTCTTTTGTATCACACAAAATGCTATTTAACATCACTTAAAATATTCTTAGATCGGTGCCTGTAACATTTTATTTGAATAACATTGGTTTATGACTCTTGACAAAGCACATTAGAACAGGAAAAGGGAAAGAAACAGATGAGAAGCCTTATTTCATGTGGATACTTTTGCATTTACAGCATTAGAAAAGAGCACACAGACCTACTATCAGAAAGGCTGTTACACTTCTCTTGCAAAAGCTTACTTATTTGACCTGACAGACCAACTTTAAAGGCATGCATACACTTGTCAGAGCACTCATAGCCCCACTCTGTTCATACAGCTACAGAAACCAAGTTGTTCTGCAGCTGGCCATAGGGAACAAGAGGTGCACAGCCCAGGTTACTGACAAGTACTCATCCTCTGCTTTGCCCGCTGTCAAGACCTGGTACAATACAAGCTCACTGCTGCCTGGAAGCAAATCTGTTACAATAGCATCTTACAGGTGCAGATGGATTTGTGATTCCCAAGCAGGTCCCAGTCACCTACCAGTGAACTGCAGCTGAATCCCCCAGTGTGGCAATGCACCAGGTTGCCTGTGGGCACTGTGAGGAGGATGCAGTGTATTTATCAGCTCCCAGTGCCCAAACCATTTCCCAGCCTCTTCATTCTATGTGTACGTGTGTACTGAATTGAATACTGTAACATCCCAGAGCCTGCCAAAAAAAAAAAAAAAAAAAAAAAAAGGAGCTATTTCTTTCCTTGTAGCTGCTCATCACATCCCACTGCTAGCCTTGGTTTGACCTGTCTGCCCATCATGAGCCTAGCACTTGAGCTGTCTATTCATGCTAATAGGGAACAGGATTCTGGATTTTATATCAAATATAGTTTATATCAACACAGGTAAGCAAATTTAGCTCACTTAAGACTGAGCTAGCAGGTAATAAATCCTAGCATCTAGAGAAATGCCTTATGCTATCCCTATTCCTCATTATAGCAATACACTCTAGAAGAGAAGCATTTTGTACAGGCATGCAGGACAGCTGAGTGTGTCTATAACTCACATTGAGCACCAGATGCTTGGAAGCCTACATTGACTGAAGGAAAAAGGCAGTGGTGAAAGGTGACCGTGTCTTTAGATCATAGACATGATGTGAAAAAGATGCTTTTTGCTTCAGATACCTTAAATCACGTTCCCCACCTTAATCTGTACTGGACTGAGTAAAAATGGGGTTAGCAAAAAGATAGATCAAACAGCTTGAGACAACAGCATCATAAGTGAAAGCAGATGAAAAAATAATGAAGCTGCTTTCAACTCAAGTGAAACTTCAGAGGGGAGAGAGCACAGGTTTAGAAATGCTTTGAAGAGTCATGTTGCAAACATCTCAGTTTTCTTTTCAAGTGTGAATTTCAAAACAGTCTGAACCTCAATTAGAGAGCAAGGCATTTCCACCTTATGACAGTCATGGCCAAGGACTTTGTTCTGTTACTGCAGCCTCAGAGCACAGTAACTGCAGGAGAGCTGCGCTACCTCTGTTTATAGGCTGAGGTCTTTTTGCCCAGCACAACTCTTAATCCAAAGAGATCCCTCAAGTCTAGGTAGAGCATTACCAAAAAATTACTTCAGTGATAAGTGGATGGCATCCAGGTTATAAACACTCAGGTTACAGAACACCCATTACAAAGCTCAGGTTTCTTCAGTTCCTGCATTTGCCTTCATTTTACTGAGACTACCTGCATCTCTCAAATAACTTCATTTGTGTTCAAGTTGCAAGACTGTAGAATTATCTGCGTCTTGAGCAAGTCTTGGTAGTACAGTGCTCAATGCATTCAGCAACCTCATTGATGCTATGTAATACTGCACATGAAGAACTCATTTTAAGCTCAGTATGTCACTAGATCATAACAGACAGCTTCTAGCAGGGTAACAGTTTCCTAAAAGAGTGTTGTATCTGGTTTATATTTCATATATACATGGGCCAGAGTCAGTATGGTTAAGATATGCACCTGCTAGGAGTAGTTATCTCAAGCCACAGGAGATCATCCAGCACAGGGAAAAGATGTCCATTCCCAAGTAAGGCTATTTCCTATGTTAAATACATGAATATCTGCTGTTGTCCATTAACTAGTCCATGATGCAGTGTACAGAAGGACAATTTTTATGAGCCGTTTCCTCCCCCACCTCCAGCACAGAGGACTTGCTCTTGGGTCACTCTTACAGTCTTTTGCTTGCATCTGGAGAAGCCTGGCGGTGCTGACAGGTTCCTTTAGGCATCTCTTTGGCAGCATCCTGGAAGTCCCCAGACTTTGGAGGATGTGCAGCAGTCTCTGGAGCTTCTTTCTCCACCCGCTTGGATGTTTTTTTGTAAACCACAATGAAGGGCTCCTTACTGAGTTGCATTCCCATGTTCACAGGTGTCCCTGCAGGGAAGCAGTGCACGTCTCCTGCTCAGCAGCAGTGAGCTTGCTGCCTCAGGAGCAGCCAACAGGCCTGTATAAAAAGGGGGAGTTCAAAATCACATTAGATGTATTTATCCTTGGGGCACAGTGGACAACAGTTTTCACTCACTAACTGCTCGGAGATCCTATATTATCCTAATGATTATATTGCATATAGCTGACTCAGTATAGCCAGGATAGCCCCATAATTGAGAAGAAAAGCCACCTCTGGAGGACAATTGTAAATACCTATCAAGATCATCCTAATAGAAGTGAGTGATGTTGGCAGCAACACAGACCACAACTCATCACTGCAGCTTCTCAATCTGTTAGGAGAGTATACATCCTACTGCTGACAATAACAGAACTGCAAAGTGCAGTTGGGCTGTGTTATTGTCTCCCCCCCAGTTACACATGCCTTACTGATGGTTGCCCATCAGCAGTTGTTCATTCACTGCAGCATTTCATGATGCCAAGTCAGGCTGCAAAGTACCCCTGTGTGTTACAGAGCTCACTTTGTATAGGTTTCCTAGCATAATGTGAATGGTTATATCTGTTAGTTAGTCTTACAGCTCTCAAGTTTGCCCTTAGTTTCCAAACCCAATAAAATCACATCTGTAATCAAGCAGAACATCACAGCAGGCTGTTAATTTAGGAGATAAAGCCTGTAGTGCTGTTCAGCATCCCAGGCCAACTGCCACATGAATGCAAGGCCAGTAAGTGATATATCCTGGCTATAATTTGAGCTTAGCTCCTTTGTATTCACCACTCCATATCATTATGGAACTTCCAGGCACCATGCTGTGACCCGAAGATAATTGAGGTACATCCTCAGGGACAAAAGGGCTTTTGTGGCAGAGCACTTCTAGAAGGGCACAGAGGCTGAAGACTGCCACAATACCAAGCGTGGCCCCAAAGTTCAGACTGTTCTCCCCTTAACAGCTGTGAAGCCTCACTTGTGCACATAGCAGAACCAGTAGGGCTGCAGAGAAGTGTTTTCCATCAATTAAGCTGCTTTGAGTAGCTAATAGAAAGGGAGGTCGTTACAAGATAACAAGCCTCAGACCAGGATTAACGTGATTAAAGTGGCATTGGGAAATAACTGCTGACAGTTCTAGATTTGGGGTGAAAAGCTGCAGACTTCTTGGGAAGAAAACAAGCGCTGTCTTGACCTCCAGTTGTCACAAACATCATGAGCATCAGCTGACAATGCCATATGAGCTCACCTATCACCTTATTGCTTTCATTTCTGGGCTGAGAGTCAGCCTCTGCATGCCATGAGTACTGGCAAGCACATGAGCTACACCTTCCATTACATCTCTCTTTTCCACAAGATGACATAGACGTGTCCCTAAGCACATCTCCCTTTACTCAGATTATTGAGAGACAGTCTTTCACTGAACCACTGTATTCCAAATTGAGATAGCAATAGAGGAGAAACCCTAGAAATCCAGTGATCACACAAGCACTCTGCACTCCAGCACCAGCAGTGCGTCTCAGCATGAAAATCACAGCACCCACCTATTAGATTTTAAAACGTGAGCAGATTTAGGACTCAAGCATTAGTGCTCAAATGCATTAAGTTTAAGACCCTACACCTCATGCAGGGTCAGAACCTCCCTTCTCTTTGTCCCTTTCATCCAAAAGAGAGAACTTGCTGAAGAGTTCTCCATACCTACATCATGGTAGCAGCTACTTACAAAAGCTACAGAAAGTCCTCTGGAGAGCAGCTACACATCTCAAGATTGCATTTATACGAGCAAGTAACATTTGCAGCAACACAACCATCATCCCAGGTAGCCCCTAATCCAATCAAGTCACAAGAACAGCACGAGCAGATTTTGTTTGCTTTGCTTTTCCCTGACTACAATTATTACTCTCAAATTGCAGCACGCAGCACTTCATCAGTGATTGATGGCTAAAGAGACCTCTATGGAACAAACTGAATTGCACCAGCAAATATAAAATAAACAACAAAGAGTGCCTGCAAACACCAAGACCTTTGAATTGCTTGAGTCCTGACCTGGTTACTCTTCATCTACAATTATGCTGAAAAATGCATAATTTGTAATGGTTCTTTGTGCTACAGCTGCCTCATGCTGCATCAGTAAGTAAGAAGCTCACTTAACTGGACTCTGAGTTTAATTAAAGGCACCATCAAAACTCATCAAGGCCCAAACATCGCACAGCATGCATTCCTGAAGCTATATTGCTAGAGCTGAGGAAAAAAAAGTTGTTAAGCTCTTCAAAACCCAAATAAAGGCCCTTTCATTACTGTGAGAAAAGCAGCAAAAAAGGAATCAGAAAGCATTACTAATGTGAATCAAATGCAAAAAATAAAAGTGCCAGAAACATCACTGCAGCAAGACCAACATTTACAAGGCAGCATCGTGAATTTGCTGATAGAACATACCAGAAAACCCAAAGCTCAGGGTCTCCTGCTGCAGCACTGATTGCGCCTCCTGCACTCCAGGTGCTGATTTCAGTGACTGAAAGGGCCACAGCTGTGCCTCAAAAAGCAGAGCAGCCCCACAGGTGCTGCCACTCAGCATCAACCCCACAAAGCACAGGTGGCACAGAGGGGTGCTGCTGCTTCCCTTATTTATAGCCATGCAGGGGGTGGGTATTTATAGTGCCCTCTCTGGAGCAGTGTTTGCAGGTGGTTGTGGGGTGAGGAGTTGGTTGGGGTGCTTTTGTGGAAGGGGGGCTGTTTGTGGCTGGGCTTTTATACTTTTTTTTTCTTATTTTAATTTGCAGTATTGTTTTTTGCTTTCTGGTACTGAGAGCAGAGGAATGGAAGGCTTTTGAGCTGGTAGAACATGCTTCTGAATTATGGTTGCTCATGCTTTTGTTGTTCAGCTTTGTGGGCTATCCCTGCGCTCTTTATTTGCATTTTGGATTGGGAGTACATGTAAAAGTTTCTGCTTGCTTGAAGGTGGCTCAGGATCTCACTAACTGAATGAGCAGGTAAGTGGGTAAGGCAATTACTTACGTATCCCAAAATAAAGCTGGCAGCACACTTGTAGCTTATTTGTTTTAACTAGGAGAACTCCTGGTGCTCTATGAAGAGAGAGACTGAATAGATCTGTGCTTTTGAAAGAAAAAAGTGTATGTCTGAAGGTAACTGGTAGCTAAAATGAGAAAAGGAATTCATTAGGAATCAGCAAGGAAGCTTGTGCATGAAAGTGTATTGTCCAGGTAATAGAAGTGATCTCCTTTTTCAGCTGTATGAGTCATAATTCTGGTTATGTTCCTATTGATTTTGTTTTCTTTCATTTCAGTGCAACTGTAGGAAGAACTTTACATGAAGGCAAAGTATAAAACCCTAACAAAGAACTGTAAGTATTTTAAAGATTTCTACTTTTGCTTAGAGCTGTTGGTGGTAGAGTTGTATGAAAACCTAGGAGAGGAGTCTGGAGAAAGAGAAGAGGCTTTATGGGACAAAATCTTGTGAAACAGGGGAAGGTCAGTGACCTACTGCCTTGTTTGTGAGAATCTGATGTAGTGCAGTTCATGTTGAGAGAATGGAAGGCTGAATGTATCTGAGACATGAGTTTTGATACCTTAAAATTGATAGGTGCTGGGGGGAATAGTTTGCTATCAGCATTATCTGAGACAGTGACTTTTTACAGTTCGGCCTTTTTTTTTGCCATTCCTGGTGTTTATGTGCTTCAAAAAGCTTGGCTTTGGTCTCTACTTGTAAGAAGGTTGAGGTGTGGTGCTTTGAACATGGCTTCTCTAGGTTCATGTGGTCTCAGTACCATGGAGTAGCTGTCTAAAACGGCTCATAAAGCAAATTTGCCATATATATGTTTGTATGATGTGATTACCCAGATGAGTTAGGATCTGGGATTAGAGGTTTTTCCATCATAACACTCCCTGCTCTGCATGTAGTCCATAACTGAGGTTTATTTAGTGGAAGCTGAAAGCCCCTTTCTGTTCTGACTTTGAAACAACCATTAAAATGTATGCCCATGTGAAACTTAATGCTTCTGTGAGCCTCAGGTGTTTGTGCTTAGCACTACAGTGTGCAGACAGAGCTTCATGCAGTGTAAGCAGTTGCTCTCTTAAAAAGAAGCGATTGATGTATCCAAAAGAGACCTTGCATTTAATTAACATATGCTGGCCAAGCCATACATCAACTTGAGAAATCAATACAGCCTGCAGGATAAGATGCCAGTACTGTCCTGTGCTTAAGCTAGCAAGAAAAACTGGGCTTCATCTTAAAGCTGTTGATGGTGTGTTCCTAGACTAATGTAAGTAAATGTAGCAAACCTACAGCTCCTACTGTGCAGAACCTGATTCCATCAGCTTCCAGCTGTAAGGCTTTGGGAAATGAGCTACTAACAGGTGTGAATGGATTAAAACTGAGGAGCTGCTGGTGGAGCTATAGGAGAAAGGGTAGTGAGGGATGGCTGGCTACTGAATGGGGTATGTGAGGTGCTGGGGATTGCAAGGATGGGTGTCTGTATGGGTAAGAAATGGGTTGTGAGGTGCTTTATTAAAGGCATTTTGTTCTGATGTACAGCAAAACTAAACTAGCTGAATGCAAAGGGTATGCTGTAATGTATGCAAGTACATAGAAAAAAAGCTTTTCAGTGCACCCCCAGTTGCTTTTTCTTACAAGGAGAAGGGAGCACAGGGGGAGGTCCTATTGCTAATGGAAGACATCAGCTGTAAGTGTTCAGCTCCTAATTGCACTGGCAACTGGAGTTCAGAACAAGGTGTTGTTACTGAGGTGTCAGTTGCTCTTTGCACACAGTCCAGGAAGCACATTATTTCTCAGGACATGGGTAGGAATGTCTTCTCAAGTGTGCTAAGGAGCAAATCAGCTGCTGTGTGAGAGCAGTAGATGGGTGCAGTGGGTTACATGTTGTCTACAACTGCACTGAATATTAAACTTCTGACAGCTGAATCTTTGGATGCAGCTCAAGTAGTATGGAGGTCTTTGCACACTCAGAACAGCCCTTTCCTCTGGACTGCTTTCATGCAGTGGGGGTGTTTTGGTTTTTTCACAGGTTAGTGGCTGTGGGGCTGACAGGATCCTTGACGCTTGCTGAAGAGCTGCAGCCTTTTCCTAGGACAACTCTTATTCTGTGCCCCAAGCTGGAGCAGAACAGCAGTACCAAAATCACTGTTTGCTCAAGGTTTAAGTGTAGGACTGGGAGGTGACTGACCACAAAACTGCGTATCTGGTGCTAAATACTCCTAGAGCTGCTGAGCCGTTGTAGAAATGATTTTATGTTTATCTTACCACTGATGATAACATAATAGAGCAATTACTGGGTGAAGTATGCACTGGAGAGCAGTTACAACTATGTAGAAACATTGTCTTAATACCTACTCTTTCATGCTTGCAGGGACAGGAGCTGGTCTGCTGAGAAACCTGGTGAGGTGTTTCAAGCCTGTGTGCCAGGAGTGCAGAGCTCTGTTTGCTGCAACTCTCCCCTCAATGGCAGAAGCTTCGTTTATGGATGCTGTGCTACAGAGGAAGGTAGGCAACAATCCTACAGTCCTTAAGAGCTGTGTTTCAGCTGCATGTGGGGGTACAGTGAAGCACTACTGTCTGTGGTAATGAAGGGCTGCCAAGTTTAACTTGATGGAGGCTTTTATCATGCAGACTGCCAATTCAAGGTAGTAGGCATACCTTCAGCTTGCCTCATATTCTCCCTTTCTACTCTTCTGAATTGTGGAGTTGTTTCTTTGTAAATTTAACAAGGATAAGGCTGTTGCTGTAATGTATTTGCATGATGTGCTTTCAAAAATGTCAATTCCTACTTACACCTGCTGACTTCTGAGATTGTTACAGGCTGTACTCTAGCACCCTTGTAGTGCACTAAAACTATGCACTTAGGTTGCATAGTGTAGCAGCATTGTTTCTAGGAAGTACAGAGAGCAGGTTATTTTTTAGAAAGATGATGTCTTGTGCAAAGGTTTTGGGGATCGGGAAGCAATTGATTGCATTTTGTATGGATACAGTTGAAAATACCTGAGATGCTCTCAGCCATGCTAAAAGCACCTAATGCTTTGTCTCAGTATATGACTGTGGGGGAACTCCTTATCAGAGATGTAATCCAACTGGTAACAGTGCTTTCAGAAGCTTCCAAACAAAATGCTTCAGACTATTAGTAATTTGCCTTTCAGGTGTCCTGTGTGAGTCAGAATTTCAGTGCTTCAATTAGAATTCAGAGCTCTAAATTCAAGTCCTCTAAGCAACAGTAAAGAACAGGGCTCATATGGCAGAATTGCAGCTGTGAATGGAACTGATTCATTGAAATGAACGTTGCATAAAAATATGGCATTTATTGCTTGGCTGTTGAAGGACATTCCTGTACAGACCTACATTCTCCTTCAAGGTACTTCAAACCTAAATGTGTGCAAATATGGAGGCCATATACCTTAAGCAATCATTGCTTCACTAAGTGCACTGTATAGTTTATTCATCTGTGAGTAGTAATTGAGGCTTGTACTGCTTTTACAGTGTTGAGTAATAAAACAACCATGATGTACAATAATGCTGGAGAGCTCCAAGGAGGCTCATTTACATGATAGCAGGGGAAATGGTCTTGCAAGGAATAAGAATTAAGAGGTTGGTATTGTGCAAGGTGGTGTTTCCTTCAGATCAAGCCTGACATGAAGGAAGTTGGGGGGGAAAGGGGTATAAAAAGCCGTTTAAAATTCTGAGCCTGTTCTTTCATCTGAAATAGAGAAGATAAATTAAATCTGGGGTAAATCCTCCTGGGGTAGTGCAGGAACAATAGAACAGGAGGTTTTCTGTTACCACATCAGAGATCAGATCTTTCCTTTTTTCCTTCAAGACAGAGGCTGACGTGTGTATGTGCTTCAATGCTTCAGTTTTTGAAGTCAATCTCCCTTTCAATAGGTGGAATAACATTTGTCCTTGGACTGTTTTGCCCTATATTTTGTTTTTGAGGCGAGACTTCTGCTTTTCCTACTTTTTTTCCTGTTCTCTGTACTCTGGTTTGCTTTAGAACAGGATGAGTTCTACCTGCTATATGGTTTGAAGGGCCTCTAGTTCCTCAATAGGCTTTGTCATCTGTAGCATGGCTGAGATTGGAGCCTCAAAGCAAGAGGAAGGTTGTGTTGTATTGGTGCAGGAAAGGAATTGTTCTGTCTGAGCTTGTCTGTGTTGCACTGCTAAAAGCTGAGCACTAAATGTGAAAAGCTGATTGTGAAACATATCTGTAGACATTGATGAACGGTGTAAGAAGAGCCTTTGGGAAGAGTGGTGCCTTTTTAGAGAGAAATAGAGACAAGATGACTGTTTTCTCTTGAACTGAAGAGTGATGGATGTTATCCTGCTGACCCTTCTGTTATTACCATTGAGATGATGTACATGTTAATTGTCCCTTAAAACATTGATGAACTCAGCTCCGGCCCGGGGTGGTTCCAAGTACTCCAAGTTTCATTTAAAACTGGGGGGGAGAGAGGTTATTTACAGCTGCAGACTTCCCACGAGTCTTACAGAAAATGATTTGTAGCAGTGCTGACATGGCTTCTGTCTGTGACAGCAGAGATCCCAGCAATGGGCCTCCTTAGCTGACGTTAGCCTCTGTGAATGCTCCCAGAGGTATGCTGAGAAACTCCCAGCGTCTGCTTCACCATTTGTAAGGCATGCCAGGATTCTGTGTAAAAGATACTACTGGAAAGCAAAGTAGTGTTATTGTTGTCATAAAGCTGACATGAGTACATCTGGGTGTCCTGGGGGAACGTGCTGTATGAGCACAAAGTGACTTGGTAGTCTTCCCACCCTTAAAACACAGCAGCTTTTATAGCTGTACAATCCTTGTTTATAAAATATATTGATCCAGCAGCATCATAATCTAGAGATGTAACTTCTCTCATTAGGCAGCGACTGCAAGTTGCTGTAGCAATTTAATACAATTAGTGAATACAGGCAGAGGTAGGAAGAGGTGCCTGGTCTGGCAAGGGGCTGCTTGAAAGGCTTGTATGGATGTATCATAATGATGGAGGATTGTGTGCTTGAGTCAGGGCTGCTTGTCCATGTGCACTTACATTAACTTGTGTCTGCAGAGTTTGTTTTACCTGGAGGAATCCACCTTTGCTGATGGCATGAGGCTGAAGATATAATTGTGGTGGCTGGCATCTCGGAGCTCTCCTTTGAGAAAGCTCTGTTCAGGTCCACTGCAGCCTCCTAATATCAGGAAAGATGCCTGAGGAATTCTGCCACTGTTTCTTTCAAAACTGTGCTTGAACCGAGAGGCTGTTTCATGTTGGAGTCACTAAATTCTTAGAAAGAGAGGCCACTTTCTCAATACTATTTCATGCTGTTGCTCTCATTGAAAGGGGGGAGAGCAAGCTCAAGCTTACAGATGGCCAAGGTGTTCTGTCTCCTCAGCAGATAGGCAGTGATGCAGTCATGTGTGCAAATCCTCTAGCAGCTTAGTGACTTTATTCATCATTTTTCACAGCTGCTTGTCACTCATAACAAATTTACATCATTGTCATCCTTTCAATTTTCCTAGTAGTAGGAAAGCAAGCAGCTGAAGGTAGGAGAGGGCAACTGTCTCATCTTACATTCACAGCAAGCTGCTGTAGAGGGTGAGGGAAAGATCTCGGTCACTTCACCTGTTTCTGTTGCCTGGTTTTAGCTAGTAACCCAGTCAAAAATTAGCAAGTTTGTACAGTGTACTTCTGCAATTTGTTCTCTGCTCTGGTGGTATTAATGGCTGCTTGCCAGCCCTGACACCCTGCCAGGTAACTTGCATTACTGATCCTGCTGCATGTTATGATGCATGTTAATGTGCCTGGTGTGGCAAGCACTTGTCTCTGTGGGAAAAGGTGAAGGGAATGTGGAAGGTCTGCTAAAATGAATAAAACATTGCTGTAATGCTGTGCAGAAAGAATTTATCTTTTAGCTTGGGCTGCAATATGTGTAGAGTGGCTGTGTAGGTTAAAGTAACCCTGTTCCATCATCTGCTTTGTACAGCTATGAATACATATGGATGGAAGTCTTAAGATGGGTCAGAACTGATTCAGCTGCTGACATTGTGACACTGGACTTACAAATGCAAACAGTGACAAGATTTATCCAAGATCCAAGTAGTCTGTGCCAGGAGGTGCTGGTTAATCTTTGCTGGCAGCTGGGGAGAATGCTACATGAGATAAGTTCAACTTGCTGTGGGTATTCATACCTTGTCTTCCTTGCTTCTGTGTATGAAATACTTCGTGCTGCTATCAAAGCCTTTCTGGAGCAATAGATGCTTTTGACTCTTTGTGATACCTGTTAACTGGGATGCTGTTTTGCTCAGACTTGTTGCTCACTGCATGCTCCAGCTGATACTTGATTTATTCTTGCTGGCTTCAATTTTCATTCCACTTAAAACAAGCTGTGAGTGAGGTGTTCTGTTGGGTGCTTTCTGTGTCCCTTCAGATGTGTGGAAACTTCTTATTGCCTTTGGGAGAGTCAGAATCAAAAGAGGAGGAAGGTAAGGACTTGGTTTTGAGTTGCTTATTTTCTGGAGCAGAGCTGACTTAAGCCGAGATTCTTCATTGAAGCCTTGTATGTGTTCATTTAGATCTGGAAGAATTAATGAGCTTTTTATTAGAGGGCAAGGAGTGGTTTTGCAGAGATTGGTAGCATTGACTGTTGAAATGCTCATAAAGTGTTGCAATATCAGAAAAGCCATTCTGGTTGTTAGCTAGGTCAAGTGACTGCATGCATTTTCCAGACACAAATGAAAAACTGCAGAAGCTACACCTGCATTATTATTCACCCATACCTGTCCTTCCTTCTGCTCAGCACATAATGGTCTGGTAAGCAGGACAGCAGCATCCTAGAAAGAAGGCACAGTCATCCCAGTCCTCTATTCTTTATGCTCTGCTGAAGTTTCTATTAATAGATGGCATGGTGGCTCCTGTTCCCTTGCTCTCTTATTAGTGAGGTTTTTAGTTTTCAGCAGAGCTGGCTGATGTGCTCATTGGACCTTGAAGGATTTGCTCCATGACAGATACAAGATATGAGTACAAATGCAAGACATGCTTTAAATTCATAGAGGAATTCTCATGGGGATGCTGATGAAAAACAGCTCAAGATACATTGGTGTCCCTGCCTCACATATCAGAGGGACAGCCTTTCTCAGAGCGTTCTTGCTAGGATGCAGTAGTTACCCAGTGCTTCAGGCAGAATGGATGATGATCCTGTCCTCATTCTCCCAGTGCCAATGGAGAAGCCTGCTGCTTGAGACCAGAGCTGCAGAAATGGTGAAGCCCTGTTCCAAAAAACAAGGCTGAAGGATGACTTGTGGCTTGTTTTTTTCTACTCAGGGGGAAGAGTTGTTCAATATGAGTAAAAATTAATGTGAGCACTTAAAAGTGCTGATCGTGATCCAAGGATCATAAAACATTATCTGAAGGCGAATTTGTAATACTGATTTAGAGCTGGCTGAGGAGCTAGATGTAACATACCATGTTATCAGTGAAAGTACTGATAATAGCACTAGGTATGGAGTG